TGGGTGTGAGTTTATTCATCCAAGTAGCATCTCAAAAATCGCGGATGTGAAACAGATGGTGTGCGGTGTATTAGAGTCCTTTAATTTCCAAATGTGTTTGCTTAGCTCGGTGAGGTGGCGTTTTTCTTTGATTTGTTGAGAGCAGGTATGGTTGAGGTAGCATGTCTTAAATGTGTTCTCAGTAAGGCCAACGTAGGTTTGGGATTCTTTCGTACTTTCATTCTTCACGGTCGCTTGGTAGACGATAGCTTTTGTTAGGCATTCACCTTGCAGGGGACAGGAATCTTTCGCGCGACAGTTGCAATTCTTTTCTTTATCGGTAATGTTGTTGGCTTCATTACGAAGGATAGATTTGTTGTGTGACGAAATGATGTTCTGGACGCTTGGCATACAACTGTAACTTAGCTTCAATGTGTTCCGGTTGAATATTTTGTGTAGTGGGTGGTCACGGGGAAAGGAATCGTCTACGGCTTTTAGAAATTTATGGCCAATGTTAGTTTTTACATTTGAGCTGTACGTGGGATTATACCAAATGATATAACGGGATCTGTGGCGGTTGTGTTGAGTGGGTTGAGGATCATAGTGTAAGTTATAGTTGTAGCCGCTCTCTTTCAATGCTTCTTGGTATGGCTGTTTACTTGAATCGAATGCTTGCTTGTCTGAGGAGATTTTTGAAAGGCGTTGGTTGATGGTTTCCGGGATTCTGCATAGGATAGATGGGGGGTGATTACTCTGGACGTGCACGTACTGCGGGACGTTCCCTGCATGGCTTCGTGTACGGTCGTTATGTGCCGGTCCTAAGGTCGAAAGTAATGTCCAGGAAGTTAACGCATTTCTTATTGGCCTCTATCGTTAGCTTTAGTTTGTTGTCGCTGAATACTTTGCAGATTTCTTTCTTTACTCTTTCGATTTCTTTGGGTCGGGCGTTGAATGCACTGAGGCCATCGTCTCGGTAAAGTCCAATGTCCTTTCGGTATGTGGTTGGAAGTTGGGACACCCTAACCCTAACCCAACTTCCAACCACATACCGAAAGGACATTGGACTTTACCGAGACGATGGCCTCGGCGCATTCAACGCCCAACCCAAAGAAATCGAAAGAGTAAAGCCAGGGAACGTCCCGCAGTACGTGCACGTCCAGAGTAATCACCCCCCATCTATCCTATGCAGAATCCCGGAAACCATCAACCAACGCCTTTCAAAAATCTCCTCAGACAAGCAAGCATTCGATTCAAGTAAACAGCCATACCAAGAAGCATTGAAAGAGAGCGGCTACAACTATAACTTACACTATGATCCTCAACCCACTCAACACAACCGCCACAGATCCCGTTATATCATTTGGTATAATCCCACGTACAGCTCAAATGTAAAAACTGACATCGGCCATAAATTTCTAAAAGCCGTAGACGATTCCTTTCCCCGTGACCACCCACTACACAAAATATTCAACCGGAACACATTGAAGCTAAGTTACAGTTGTATGCCAAGCGTCCAGAACAATAACTAAAATGTTTTTTTTGCTGGTTATTCCTTCTTCACAATCCGCCAAATTCTGTTCGGTTTTCGAAGCTTCGGAAAATATTCCCTTGAAATATTGCTGTTGTTTTCCTTTTGGACGTTCTCGGATGCGACGTGCTCTTTCATTCATCCAATTCATCACAGCTGGTTTAGGATCCCATTGATCCAACGGTGACATGTTATAATGCACATAAAAATTGAGATTTTCGGTTTCAGGAAGCATTCGAGAACGACCAGACGACTTCAGTGCCATACTGCAGCTGATCAGGCGTTCTACATCTGCGCTATGTGGCTTAGATGCAAGGATCCTTGCAAATGCAACTTTCAAGTTAGGCAGCTCGTCGGATTGGACAAACCTTTGGAATCGTTCTTTTAATGATAGTTTTCTAAAATCTTCTATATCTTCCATACTAAGAACATCATCAAATTCCATACCAAGTTCCATTAATTGCTTGTGAACCTCCTTCAAATCTGCTGACTGCTGCAAATTTACAAATGGCTTGAGTAGATCAATATCATCATCTTGTTTAAAAAACCTTAGGGTCAAAGATTCTTTCAGAGACTCAATGATCTCATTCTTAATTGCATCAATGTCCCTTGTGTCAATGACGTAAAGATGGTGAATTTGTCGACGATGCCTTCCATTTCCACAGTCTAATTCAACTTCTTTTAAAGTCACGGTGCCATCTTCTTCCTCCGATACTTGCTCGTTTAGTGCTTCAACCCATCCACCGAGAAGAGCCGTTTCTTTTAATCCTAACACCTTTGCTTTCACCTTCGATGTGTATCTGTCCATGTCAAGTAGTGTTGTTGAGTCCGACTGTAGCTGTTGCTGGTATTGTGAAAATACAGCAAGCTAATCTGCAATGAAGGTCAGCAGGTCAAGATTGGATTTCTTTGTTAAAAAGGACAAGAAACCTCCAGCTTCTTTCTCATTACTTTTTTGAAATAGGCAACAAGAGCACGCTAAGATCTTAAGACCATTTCAATTAACGACGATGTGAATTCTGTCCAACGCACTTGGTAATGGTACGCGAGGTAATGATAACACGCAACAGCGCTCAGCATTTGCAGCATCAGTAAGTTCTCGTGTCCGGATGCCAGATGCATGGAAAATGTGGATATGCTTGAAAGCTGTTGAATTAAATGATTTACTTCCTGAATTGAGTTTGTGACAGATTTCCATGCCAGCTGCGAACGATGAGCAACGCACCAAATTTTAATCATTGGTGTTGGTACTTCATCGTCTAACAGATGGTTTAAATCCCGATCAATCAAAGCCCAAAGACCATTTTTTTCTCCAGTATTTACTGATGCGCCGTCAGTGACAAAAGAAGAAGCACGCTAAAACACTTTCTTGCTTTGATTAAGCAAAACATCTTCTTCATCTTCGGTATCTTCGCCAAGGGTTGCTGAACATGCCGAAAGAATAGCCTTATGAACTCCAACTGCTCCTCTTTCTTTGGGCTCTTCCGTGCCGAGAAAGATATTGTCTTCTTTTCCGTCTCTATATATAACTTTAGCCATTAAATATATCTTATCTATCTGCGTTCTATCAACCGATCCGTCACATCTTAAGGAGATGGCCAACGAATTTGACATCTTGGAAGCAAGTGAATTTTTATCTGACTTTACAATGCATTTGAGGAATTCTCTGTGTGCATTTGGTCAAAGGTATTGGAGATCATTAGGCATGTCGTTTATACTCCAATCATAAAAAAACAAAACGCATTGGCTATCCGACTTACAACCACACGCGAAGGAAACGAATTGGCAGACAAAGTAAGTCTCTTAGCACCATGGTAAACGTGAAAAAATAGGCTACCAATTTTCGCAGCCAATTGTGCATCTGCAGTCGATAATGCCCTTCCAATTGGTGTCAGTGACGTAATGTGAACCTTTTCTGGTCCTTTTAAAGACAACAATCTCTTTGTCTTTTTTGCTTCACGATGAATCTCAGTGTTCAGGTGGTCGGAAACAATGCTTTTACGGTATATAGTCCCCGGTTCTTGAGCAATCGCTGGAACTTTAGCTCTCCTGCTGAAAATCCTGACCACATTGGGGTTGGAAAAGCATGTCTCACAACGTACATAGTGGCGACCATTCTTGTGAAAATGTTTCAGATCATCCTCTTTCACTGATATTTTTGCAATTCCACTTGGTCCTGGATCCTCAACTTCCTTATTCATTTCATTATAATGTTAAAAATGTTTATATAAATATATATATATATATATATATATAATATATATATATATATATATATATATATAAAATTGCATCTGATTTAATATCGAAAAAAATATTACAAAAGGCGCGAACATTGGGAATCCCATCTAATCCAATCTTGCAATTGGCCAACTGTATACATAGATCCCATTTATACCCTATAATATCCCATCGTTTCCCTCTAAAAACAAATATGGCGGTGGTATTGCGAGTGGTATTTGAAATTCAAATAAGAGAAAGCGGTGCTCACTGGAGTTCGAAAATACCGGTATAATTTCTAGTTTCCTACATGATTTTTTTCTATATAACTTTCAATGAATTAATTATAACAAATCTACAAATTTAATATGCAAGCTGTATTGAACTTTAACTGTTTGGTATGCTACAAAGACAAAATGTGCAGTTCTAAATTTTTCTTAAAAAAAAACCTGTCTAGAGCGATTAACAAAGATTTGTTCGGAAAACGAACAGAATATGGGTGTTAGCGATGCTGATTATACGCCCTTGCATATGCCTTCGCTGGAGCGTAACTATTTTAATAGATTCATGGCGCCCACTTCTTTGTCACCAGGCTTAGATAATTCGAACTTGTCTATGACCCAGTCGTTGAAATCGAACGGCTCTCAAGACGATTTTACAATCACCGACGAAGTATGTCCTCGTGAATCGACTAATATAGATCAAAGACAAAACTGCGAAGAACCTTCTCTCTGCGATGTTTCCAAACGGCTGGACTTGCTAACACATAAATTTGAAAGGCACCAAAGCGAATCATCAATTGTCTTAAATGAACTTGTAAATTCACTTGAAATCCGTGGAAACCTAACTGGCAATGATAATTTAGTGCAGGAAATTACCTTACCGAGACAAGAAAACAAATCACTTAAAAAAGATTTAAAAGGCTATAAGAATGTTGTTACTGAAAAGAACACGAAATTAACAGCCGCTGAAAACGATAAAGCCAGTTTACTAACAGCCATTCGTTTGCTGAACGAAGATCGATCATTCATTCAACTTAAAGCTAATAATCCATCGAGCACTAATTCCTGGCGCGCAGCTCCTGCACATCCCGCAAATGTACGTAGTCCTGCCTGTCAGCCCCTACTCCTACAAAACAAGTACTCTACTTTGCAAGTAGAGGATGTGGAAATATCGGAGATAAACGTGGACACAATTGAGAAGGAGGGCCTTGAAGGTAGACAATCTGCTGATGATAAATCAGGTTCAAGAAAATCGGCATCTGCTATGAAGAATGGCCGTAAGAAGAAAACAAAAACGAATACAGTCATTATTGCCTATTGGTGACTCTATCATCAAATACGTAAAAGGCTGGGAGTTATCGAGTGCAACTAATCGTGTTACAGTTAAGTCATTCTCTGGCGTCAGTATTGAAGACATGCAAGATTTTATAAAACCGATTCTTCGTAAAAAACCCGGAAAGATCATTCTTCACATTGGGACCAACAATCTACGAAATGATGACGCCAAGACTGTTGCCGATGGTACAATCAATATTGCACATTTTATCCAGCAGCAGTGTCCCAATACCGAGATCATTGTTTCGGGAGTTATCGTCCGATCGGATGATTCGTATGCGTCCAGCAGGGTAAGAGAAACAAATAGATTAGTTCAATCTATGTGTGATCATAATAACTTGATGTTTATACCAAATTTGAACGTTAAAATTATGCACTTAAATGTCAGAGGATTACACTTAAATCCTACTGGCAGCCTGTTACTATAAAATCCGAAATGATCTGGTTCCTGACGGTATCGAAGCAATTTGTTTGGAAATTTCTAAGCCAAATTCCAGGAATTTCATTGTTGTATCAGTTTATAGACCGCCGAACTCTACACCTGAGTTTTTTTTAACATTTGAAAAAATGATTAAAATGATTGATGATGAAAACAAAGAACTCCACATCTTAGGAGACTTAAATTGTAATTTGTTGACAAATAATCCTAATCATCCAACCAAAACACTTAAAGGTATTCTGGAAACATATCAATTATCTCGACTTATTATCGAGGCTACACGAATAACGACTAGTTCGAGCACTCTTATAGATCATTACATTACATCTATGCCAGAAAAAATCTTGCACTTGCAGTCTGGAGTAATACCCACAGGAATTAGTGACCATAACCTAATCTATGGTATTAGGAAAATAAATTCTGTTTTAAATACCCGTAAAGCTAATAAGGTTGAAGTTAGAAACATGAAACGATTTAATGAACAGCGCTTTAACGAGGATTTATTGACCCAACCTTGGGAACAGATTGTATTAAAGTCAGATTCTGATTCTATGTGGGCCTGTTGGAAGGAACTATTCTTGAATGTTCTTGATAAGCATGCCCCAATTCAACATATCAGGAAACGATCGTCTAGTGTACCATGGGCCACAGCGGATATCAAAAAACTTATATTTGACCGAGATAGAAAGAAACGTAAAGCAATGGTGACAAAACAAAGCGCCGATTGGGATTTGTATAAAGCATCCAGAAACCGGGTCAACATTGCGTTACGATATGCTAAGGCTGAGTATTATCACACTAAAATAGCTCATGAAAAAAATAATCCTAAAGAGGCATGGAAAACGATAAATGACTTATAAGGCCGATCTTCTAAGGACACTGTTGTCAATGAATTGAAGGTCAATGATTCTAACATTACTTCCAATGAAGAAATAGCTAATGCTTTCAACGAATATTTTACCAACATTGGCCCGAACTTAGCCAGTTCTATTGACGATTCAAACTCTTCGTTTGAAACATTTGTTAAATCTGCTGAATCAAAAATGGATCGTTTCAGGCTGGTGTCGGTGGGTAGAGTAATTCAGCTTTTGAATGGCTTGTCCAATGGTAAAGCTGATATTCTTGATAAAATATCTGGTAAAATTTTAAAAGCTGCTGCTTGAACCATTGCCCCATCACTGACACATATCTTTATTAATGGTTTAATTACAAACTGTTTTCCATATGAATGGAAACTGGCAAGACTTGTACCAATCTACAAAAAAGGTCCGCGTAACTTAACAGAGAATTATAGGCCTATTTCTATCTTGCCTGCAATAAGTAAGATAATGGAAAGAATAATGTATGATCAGATATACCAATATCTTACTGATAACTCTCTACTCTCTGAACACCAGTTTGGATTTCGAAAATATCACTCTACTGCCTCGACATTACTAGATAGTACGAACAGTTGGTATGTCAATATGGACCGCAAAATGTTCAACTTGGTTGTTTTGATAGATCTTAAGAAGGCATTCGATACTATTGATCACGGTATTCTATTGAGAAAGTTAGAACTTTACGGTGTAACGGGAAGTGCCTTGGCTATGATACGTTCATACTTATCTGACCGTAACCAAAAGTGTCAGTTGGGTGACGTGATGTCAACTGCAAGGCGCGTTACATGTGGTATTCCCCAAGGGTCAATTTTGGGGCCCCTCTTTTCTTTTTCCTATAAATGATCTCCCCAAATGTTTAAACCATGCTACTCCCCGGCTGTTTGCCGACGATACAAACCTTACAATAGCCGGTGAGCAAATCCAGGAAATTGAGTCAAGAATGAACAGTGATCTTATATGTATAAATGAATAGCTACTAGCCAATAAACTGAGCCTTAATGTAACAAAAACAGAATTTATACTTATTGGCCTAGCTCGCAAACTAAATAATATTATTACACAGCCAGATCTCAAAATAAATCAAGCAAAAATTAAACAAGTCTATAAAGCTACCGTACTTGGGGTAGAGCTTGATGATAAATTATCTTGGAATGAATATATTAACATTAAAGTGGCCAACAAAGTTACTTCGGGAATAGGAGCCATTAGGAAAATTCGTGATTTTGTAAACCGAGACACTTTAATTTCAATTTATAATGCCTTAATCAATCCTCATTTTGACTATTGTAGCGAGGTGTGGGATACCATGGGTATCGGTCTTTCAAACAGGTTGCAAAAACTTCAGAATAGAGCTGCAAGGGTAATCATGAACTTTATTAATGATATTTCTGGACCAGAAGCAATAAAAGCACTAGGATGGGAAAATCTGGAGACTGGTCGAGCCAAGTCTAAAGCTAAAACAATGTATAAGGTTCTAAATAATTCAATTAACAAAAAATCCAGACTGAACAAGAAAAATTCAAACAAGTGAGGTCAATGGCTGAATTGCATGAGACATCCGGGATTCTGGTCCAGATATGGAATATACGGACCACGGTTCTGATATGGGTTTTTACGGACCGCTCGTCAACCAATCAGAATAGAGGATTTTAAAAAGCCATAAAATAATATACACTTAATGTATGCTCCCGAGGGAAATAGTGAGTTTTGTTTTCCCAAGAGTCTGAATGTTTCCCGAGACGAAGTCGAGGGAAACATTGAGACTCGAGGGAAAACAAAACTCACTATTTCCCGAGGTAGTGTACATTAAGTGTTTTGTTATATAGGAACAAAAACATTTAAAAAAGAAACCCACTTCACTTTGTTATGACAAGAAGCGGGCAACAATTTTTCACTTGTTTCCCTGGCGGGAAACATTGCATTTATTTAAAGTCATGTGACTACGAATGAACCAATCACATTTAAGATACACAGAACCAATATAACAAAACCAATTATTCTCCTCAATCTGTCGTATATGACTAATAGCTGACTAGTAACTCCGCGCAGCGCGCCTCGTCGGCTATAAGATATACGACTCGAGTTCGCAGAGTAGCTGTTATCAGAATATCATGTATCTCGTTATTTGATTCTACCATTTTAACTTATATCAGTTCTATATGATTAGGTATTAGAAAATAACAGGCATTGGTATCGCAATTTTCTGATTTTTTTAGTGTAGTAAATTATAAATTAATAATAGAATAAAATAAAAATTTTCCGAAGTAAAAACAGGGATGATGCGATTAAATATTGCTGTTATATATAGGCTATAACTGTTTTTACAGTTCCTGCTTGCTTCCAAACTTGGCAACTCATTATGTGATGCATGTATATTATATTGTAAACTGGCATCATATTGTGTTCCATTTCAGTTCAAGTACCAAGCCAGGTTTGAGTCGTGGACAAATCACTCATAGAACAACGATGATCTGGATTAACGCAGTTATTCTTATATCGACCAAAGTTATCCTCGCCGTTGCCATTTCTTCCATCATCGCCACATGGAATACTGGATGGATTATAACTGCAATTTTCGTTATGGCTTTTGAAGGAATCGTGATGAAATGGTCTCGTTTGTTGATCATCTCTTTGAATTAAGAAAGCACGGCAATTTGTCGCCCCGCTAGTAGAGCACTCGTTTCCGCGAACATTTACGAACTCAACATTCATGCATTTACTAGCACTCACAGTTAAAATATCAACTTGAGTTTTTAAGCCTTCGATATAATCAGTCTTGTTGAGACCATCTATGTCATATCGACAAGTCATCCGCCATTTTGAAGAATCGTTCTGTATGGAGTGCATTCTAGCCTTCGACAGGCGGTAAAATTCCCAGTTTGGGGTTGTGGCATTTTTAGGATCGTTTCTGATAAAAGGATTCTGAAACTCTGCTCTCTTTCCAAATTTATAGGACTGGATGAGTGTCCAAGATACTGTAATATTATCAGCCGACTTAACGAAATTGCAAAATACTGGAAAGGGTTGATTCTCGTCATCCACGATAGTGTAATGCCCCGAGACTGGTGGGTCATAGCTACCACTAACGTATCTACGGCATGACTTGATTGGCTGTTCACAATGGCTTCCGTGATAGCCTGGGGCACAGTCACATGTGAAACGTGGCGAATGCAGGATGTCAGAAGGATAGCTTGGTTTACACACTCCAGCGTTGAGACAAGGTTGTGAGGTCAGACAACAGTTTGTGTCTTGAAGGCAGTCCTTCTTTGAACCGTTTTAAATTAAGAATTTCAAACGCATTATAATATTGCACGGAAACCTAATGTTAGCCTGAAAATTCTGAAGATCTATTTGAATACTCAAGACAAGATAAAGTCAATGGACTGAAATATTGCCCTCATAAATAATTACTATTATACAAAACATGTATTAATGAAACCAGACCTCACAAACAAGTTGTTGATTTCTTTTGAAGGCGAAATAGCTACATTCTTCCATTTTGTCTTCCATCTTGAGAGACACGTTATGAGAAAAACACAAACTACAAGTATTATCTTCGTCACACATCCGGAGCGCCCGACACGTGCAATTTTTCAGACACTTTGCAAGACAACTTCCAATCGTCGTCTCTGATGTATTTTGAAAACTACAGTTATAAGGAATTTTGTCTTGAATCTCTGTCACTCTGTAAAGAGCTTCATTCTGTACGATGTTCAACATTATCACTACGAAGCCGATGAACGATCTAAAGACATTATTAATATTATTGAATTTTTTTTAGGTTTTTTTAGGTTATCTTTCGAATTTTCCGCATGGCATTGATTCACATATATGATTCATTGAATTGCAAACTTGCTGCAATAGTTCATCATCGATCTTTTAAACGTTTATACCCACAAAAACGTTTGCTTTCCAATTGCGGTCAACATCTCGTGGATTTATATGTTCAATGCCTATTTATACCTGTAATAATTATTTAACTACTATAATTTAACGAGCGACAAGAGATGTTGAGGACGATCAACAAAATCTATTTAATATTACCTGATTCCGTTCAGCATCCTGCGAGAAACTGTAGAGAAATTCTGACTTTCTTCGTGACTTCGCGTGAAGAAACCGTACTCTCTACCTGATGTGTGATATATTTCAAAATAAGTAAAATTTGGAATTATTACGTAAACTTCATAAATATAAATTAGGAATTTACTGCTGATAAAAAGTTGTTGGAATTTTTCCACTCACAATCTCCTAGTTTTAGACAACACCATGCATGTATTTCGTGATTTCTTGTTGTTATGACACGAGAAAGTTCTCCTCAGAAATCTACATAACAACGATGGGGATGCTGTAAAACAATAACTATGACTGATTGACGGACAGACTGAGTAATTTTATTTTTCATCAATCTTCACAATACTGCATGCAGATGTTTTTGGAAACTTTGGAGTAAGGTCATCACAAAACATCAGATCCTCTCAGAGGAAGTTTGCGAACTATATTTAGACGCACATCGAAAAATTTCAGAGGGGTCCTACGTTCGGGACCCGATAATTGATTGCACTGAGTGTGTACATGTTTCTATTTGATAAGAAAAGCAATATTACAAGACATGCAGATTGTTGAAACAACTATTTTGTGATTGGTTGTCTGACTTGTCTCACTGTTTATCTCGATTAGTTTTCTCAGATTCACAAAATAAATGTCGTTGTTGACCAATTTTATATTGTTGACTGTTTTTACAGTGTAGAACTTGAAGATTTTAGCGTAACGGACAAATATCTTCCCGACGACGAGTGGTGAACGCGCTGCGAGCCCCGAGGAAAGGGTCCGAGGAAAATTTTGAAATTAACACCCATCACTCCCAATATTGTCCAGTTTTTGGCTGCAATTTCTTCTTATGGGCTGCCCCTTTTGACATTGAGCTAATGAAATTGTCCGGTGTCTGCTTGCTACAATCATAATTAATATCAAATTCCAGGAGAAGGCTGGTTTTCCGTCAGGAAAATTACCTTGCTCCGGACCGTATCGGAGAGAAAAGCTACTTTTTTATCCATGTGTCCACGAACAAAGAAACCATACCGTTCGATCCAATCCGGAGGATAATTTTCCCGACTAAAAACCAGCCTAAAGAATAAGATATTTTCAAGCCAAGGTTTGGGAATAACAATCTCTAGTTTCTTTGGCAGAGAGGGAGAACATTTTTAAATTACGATTGCTGTAGATTCACGGAGATAACAATTTCATAAACACACATCTTTTTTTGAGGCAATAGTGTCTTAGCCACAAATTTTATTGAAAAACGGCACAAGAATAAATTAAATGAATGATGTCTTTCAGATTAATTCCTGTTATGGATTTAGAAATAGCGAGTTATTTATCATGTATACTGCACGCGGAGACAAACCCACTACTAAATTATGAATCAGGATTTTAATATAGAAACGATAAAAATATGCACGCAATAATAATACTCATTACTCATTGCATATTTGATAGGAGTAGTTTTAGACAACACCATGTATTTCGTGATTTCTTGTTGTTATGACACGAGAAAGTTCTCCTCAGAAATCTATAAATAGCTTCCCTCTCTTCCTGTGTTAAAATAATCTGTTGAACGCAAAATGTTATTAATGACATCTTGTTGAAATTTAATGTCATTTTAGAGACACTCTCCCATTAAACTTTCATGATTAAAATTTTCCACAGCGGGAGAGAGCGACAATTTGTAGCTTTCCGATGACAACGTTCTCGTGTCGACGTGTCCTAACCACAGGAAATTGTAGAATAATTTGAAGTTCGAAATAAAAATTATATCCATGAATATATCGATGACAAATCGTCATTATATGATCATTTACCTTTCGTCTTAACTTTAGAAGGTTATAGAATATAAGTTGTTATAAGTGTATTTGTAAGAAATTACAAATAAGAATGAACGATGATTGCGGGTCGTGCATCATAATTTTTCACAATTTCGTATGAATCGAAGCAAGAGGCAAGATTTGAAGTCGTCGTTACCATTGTACAAAAGTCAATGTACAAAAATGTAATATGATCGTAGGTATAAACAACGATGAGGGTATAGGCAGTTACCAGGACGATTGACTTACAGACTGAATAATTATAATTTTAATTTTTCATCAATCCTCGCAATACTGCGGGTAGGTTCGCAACTCCTCGCAAGAATGGTTTTCATAGGCTGAACTTTACAATACATTTCTGTTTCAACCAATAGCATAGCTTCGTTCTTTAGAAAGCATAGAAAAGCATTATTCAAATGCACGAAAGCTTCCGAGCACTGCTACAGGATTTTGTCGTAACGTTTACATTGCAAAAAATGTAATCTAATTGTAGATGACAGGGATATGCTTTAGACAATGATTATGACTGATTGCATGACTTACAGACTGAGCGTAATTGTAATTTTTATCAATCATCACAATGCTGCAGATGTTCTTTGAAACTTTAGGCAAGGTCATGCACGTAATGGAAAAGAGATTTACAACTCTGCCTCTTCACTTTGACTGACAATATTCCCGGCGAGATAAAATTCGAGGCTCCTGTACGTATACAAATTTGTAATCTCAAACTTTTCAAAATGGGGCCCAACCATTTTATATTGACAACAAACGTTAAAATAAACTCCTCTCATTTGCTGAAGAAAGGGAACGTGTGCTTAAATTTGTGTCTGAATCCTTGATCATCTATACGCGTATTTGAGTTAAGAGCATGTGCTCGCTCCATTTTGACATTTTGTTGTTAACAAGACGCCTGCTCAAGGCGTTCACTCCGCCTGAATGCCAACTGATGTACATGATTCATCCGTGGACCGTGTAGCCCAGGGCTTCTCGGACAAAAATGAAGTTGTTTTGGGTTACCTGTAGAAATGCCAACTTCTGTCGCCCAAAACTACGACTACTAAAAGGAAAAAAGACCATGGCATTTTAAGACTCCGCTGCGCATGTACGCAGGCGGAGTAATTAAAGCATAAGAGCCATCACTGTTGTTAAACTACTCAATTTGTGGGTAACCTTTTGAATCACATACGCTGTGAGCCTGTGGCACACACTACATACACTACTCTAGTTCCCAGGCCATTCCTGGAAATCAGGATCATGTGACGTAATTAGTTATCGCTCAATTTGCGTTACCTGCTGAAGGAAGTTGAACGCTGTTTTTGCGGAGCCGCGAGAGACAATTTTACAACCCCTAAAAGAAATTACGGTAACTATTACTTTGCATGATTCTATACTGTTTAATTTTATACATTTAATGCCCTAACAAGTTAGCCCACGTATGCTATGCTATTAAAAGTACGATCGGTACACTGTTAATTCAAAAGAGTCATTTTGACTCCTTCAAAGGAGTCGTTTTCTTGACCCCAGGACGACTCCTTGAAGAGAGTCATTTTGACTCATTTTGGGTTGACACCTGTAAAGAGTCATTTTAACCCTTTAACTAGAGTCATTTTGACTACCCATGGAGTCGTTTCAAAATGACTCTTGCAAGAGTTAAAATGCGAATTAACTCCTCAAAAGTGTCGTTTTAAAAGAGTCATTTTGATTTTTGACTCTCTTTTGGCATCAATTTTACTCTTATTTGGAGTCATTTCGACTCCTTTTTGTCATCGATTTTACTCTTATTTGGGGTCATTACGACTATTCTGTGGCATCAATATTACTCTTATTTTGAGTCATTCGACTCTTCTTTAGCATCGATTTTACTCTTATTTGGGGTCATTACGACTATTCTGTGGCATCAATATTACTCTTATTTGGAGTCATTGGACTCTTCTTTAGCATCGATTTTACTCTTATTTGGGGTCATTATGACTATTCTGTGGCATCAATATTACACTTATTTGGAGTCATTCGACTCTTCTTTTAGCATCAATATTACTCTTATTTGGAGTCATTCGACTCTTCTTTAGCATCCATTTTACTCCCATTTGGAGTAATTTCGACTCTTCTTAAGCATCGATTTTACTCCTATTTGGAGTCTTTTGACTCTTCTTTAGCATCGATTTTACTCTCATTTGGAGTCATTTTGACTTCTTTTTGACATCGATTTTACTCTTATTTGAAGTCATTTCAACTCTTCCTTGGCATCAATTTACTCTTATTTGGGGTCATTTGAATTCTTCTTTAGCATCGTTTTTGCTCTTATTTGGAGTCATTTTGACTCCTTTTTGACATCGATTTTACTCTTATTCGGGGTCATTACGACTATTCTGCGGCATCAATTTCACTATAGTACTGTACACCAATATTAGTTTCATGAAGTTTGCATAAAATACAAAAGCAGAGTTTGAGTAAACGATGTTTAATAATGTATGTGCAGTGAGTATTACAGCATACACACAATACATTCCGCAAATCTGTTTCTTTTAAAAAAAGTAATTATATAATAAATATCTATATATAAGCATGCAGGCTTTAAAATATCGGCCAACAGACCATCTGTCAAATGTCCGGTGTCTTTAAAAAATGAGTCGGATATACATTTTTAAAATTAAAATATGGTAAATGGCCATATGTTTAGTCAACCTCGTACCATCCTCGACCCTCAATTTTCCTATTGGTCGGACAGAACACACAGTGCTTTTCTCGCTATACGTCGCACAATTCACGAATGGGTCAAATCTCCGCGACCGGCCGATATTTTAAGGTCTGCAAATATAGGTATAATAAATATTTCAAAAAATATAAACATATTTAAACATATATAATACCGTATTAAAGTTCCAATGATTACTCATTGTTTTGTTCGATGGCCATCATAGCATGCACTACCTCCGTCACTCGTACTGGCATTTTAGAAGGTTCAATGCTTAACATTGCATGCTCAAGGAAAATCATGACGTTTTTGACCATGGTGTAGTCAAAATCATACACATAATAACACGATATCAACGCAACTAAAGCATCCACAAGTTTGTCGTCTTTACTCAGGTCACACAGCAATTTATGTTCCCCTGCAATGTAGATTAGATCTAGATGATAAAGATCTAACCCACTCAATAAAACGATGGGCGAAATTGCGTTTTTAATCAAAGCATCCATGTTATCGTTGGTCTAAAAAAGAAAATGTCAAATTAGATAATAGATGTGTTTGAACGGTTTAGTAGAGGCATCTGTATGAAAGGGGGTGGGTTTTTTAGGGGGTTTGATGGAACTTCTAAAGCTTGTTTTTTAATGCAATTACTTTACTACTGTACAAATGCCATTGGTCAATAAAAATCTTTTGGGATTGACAGTCAATACAACTTTTAGTACAGATTACCTTTAGTAGCATGAGGACCTTCTCTTCCCCGCTGTTCTTCCTTCCACCCCCACACCGTAGTAGGTAATTAGTAATGGCGAAAATTGCTGTTCTGTGGTTGCACTCTAAAAATTAAAAACACAGAAAGGCCCCAGAAATTAATGCTGAAGACAAGTAACTCAGTAGCATGTTAACTGTTATGCGCCTGCAACGCTTACTAAATTTACATATATTATACTCCGGCAACTTTATAGCCAAGAAGACCATGAAGATGAAGTCTCTCTAAAAAATATATTGCGTTTCATCTTAAAATGTACTGAATATCATAAATATGTAAAATTCAAAATTGTTGCACACACACTTTAACGAGGGGTGTATAAAAATATGGCTCCAACAGAGAGTATTTAGGGCAGGTCCTTAGTTGTAAGAAAAGGTTTGTGGCGGTTTCTAAATTCTTTTCGAAAGAATATGTCTTTAAGTCTTCGAAACGATTTTCGATTATTTTTTTGAGTTGATTACGATTCGAGGGAAAGGCTCATAGACACGTACTGTACAACTCTGACCAATAATTTTCTCTCCAGAGAGAAAACGGGAAAGAGGGATGCATCTTTCTCCCAATAGTCCGCGCATTTTCGGGATTTGGCATGGCATAATTACCGGATAAAGTCTTTGAAACGTCTGTGATTTTAAAAAGTATTCGAAAGTCTTTAAATCTATTTAGTCTTTGCATGAGACTATACGAAGTTTCCTTGTCAGAGATTTGACTTAATATATAAATTGCATTATACAAAACGCTTAATTTAATGGTCAAGTTATGTTACCGGTTGGACTGAGTTTATCTTCAGAAATCGCCGAGTCCATCTCTTCCACCAATTTCTTGAATGAGGACTTTTCACTCTTCTGTACATAGGATAATATTTTTGGAAGCCATGTATCAATTAAGCGTTCCTTCATTAATCTTGTGACATCTTTGTCCCCCATGACTCGGCACATTTCTTGCTTCAGCTTTAAATAATGAATACAAAATAGATTTTGTTAAATTTAACTTGAACTATGCATGCTTACTATATAGCCATGTTGTTGCTATGAAATAAATTGACACATGACATGAAAAGGTAAAGAGATTTTTTTAAAATAAGGTAACGTCATGGTCATATGGTAAATATTTAAAAAATAATTCAAAATTGCTTATTCGAAATATTTTCTGCATTTCAAACTAATTTAAAAAGACATTTCATCCAGTTATAACTCGCCCGATGATGAGTGAACATATATATTGCTCTAAAACTGTGAAGGATGCAAAAAAAGTAGATATAAAATGCATTAGCAATTTCCTAGAAGAAAATTTTGTTCAGATTATTATCTTACATGAATATGTTGCAGCAATGGAGGAAAGAGTTTCAACAAACTATCCACGCTCTCGGTCCCTTCAAGAATCATTTTTCGTCTGACAGGATATGTTGATGACATCAGTGACTTTACCAAGGTTTGATCTGGACGTGCAATTCGGCAGATTTTCTTTAGTTGCTGAGTCTTTTCCTTCATGGTATCTTCAGTTTCCCCTTCGTCAAGTGGTGGGATTTTGAGCCAAGGTTTAATATTTAATTTTATTTTCTTGACTACCGGTGTGCCAATTGATTCACCTTCAGTATTTGGCTTACAGTCTTGTGTGTGCTTTAAAGGGTTTCTCTGGAGACGTTTCATTCTGTGCTTTTTTTGTTCCCATGATCCCTAACAAATGTACACAAAAATTGAGTTGCTCTGCAAACTACTGTATGTGAATCCAATGAGGGATGCACTGGAACCGATATTTTAAGTTCCAGCCGGAACTGACTAGAACCGAAGAAAAGTTCGGGCAAAAGCGGAACTGAATTTGTTAAGTATTTATGGTCATGTTTACTTTGTCTACTTGCAAAACAGTTCTCAATGGAATCAAGACATCAGTGGATCAAGGCATTACAATTGTTGTAAAAAATAAATATTTCAGTAAATTGCAAATTTTCATAGTAGTGATAGTAATTAACATCTTTTTTTGTCTTCTCACGCACACCAATGTGCATGCACCTATGTACTGTATGTCAAGAACACTAGGTGGTTGTTATAATTCAGATTAAGTATGGTGAGAATTATAATTGACTGAAAAACTCTGCAGTCTTTGTACAGAACAATCTTTGGGTGGTCATCGTTCCTGGAAACGTCAAATACTGTAGTGTCCTCTATTTTTAAATTCCCCCCAATATGATTGACATTTTTTAAGTACTGTGTGAACATGTTGTACAATACCGTATTTCGTACACTCAATTGCTTAATCACTTACCCACTCAGTTGATGTAGAACAAATTTTTGGATCTTTCAGAAATGGGTATTTGGCAACAATCTTTTGGGCAATTATTTGCCTTTCTGCTTCTGTTGGGTATCTAGTATGGGTTGAAATGAGAGTACAGATATCTCTGTTAACTCATTGCGTTGATTTCCATTCAAATTCTAGAAGCTAGTCCCATCTCAACATTAACCGAAAACTACAACAAAATAACAAAGCCGTGGTTATAAATTATTAATAGTTGAAATGTTGTTTTTTCCTGTTGAGATATGCACTAAAGAATATAACATTGCAATACAACAATACATTGTATTGTATAAAAACATCCTTTGTTAGTATACCAACCTTGTCGGGAATTTCAAAAACCCATCCAAACTTAACATTTTTCTCACCAGACCTTCCTCGCCTTGTTGATGTTGCAGTAAATGAACATGGGGTCTAATACAATGCAATAACATATGCTAATGTTATGTATAAAATTAATACACACTACTGTACTGTTATGTTATTTTAGTGTAAAATAACTGGAAATTGATTGCAATTTAAAGAGTGATCTGCAATTTTCACAATATCTTCAATAACTAGGCCAAAACAATGTACATGCAGTCAATATTGCACAATCAATTATTCATTAATTTGACTAAGTATTTAAACTGTGAATTAATTACCCAATAAGCTCCCTGGAGAGCTTCCCGTTAACAAGTAAAATTAATCGCCTGACATTTGTAAAAAAAAACGCACTGGGGCGCATTGCTAGTTAATGGTTAATATCAATTCACTATAGTTCTGTAATTGGTTGTTCCAGAATCCCCAACCCCCACGGAGGAAATTTTCATCTGTCCAAAGGAGGAGGAGAAGCAACTTTGAATTTCCTAAGATGTACTAAGGATGCTTAAAGAGGAGGGAGGAGTAATTTTCCTTTTCTCTGTGATGGAGGTGTTGACCTTTTCTGGAATGTTATATAATAATTATCAGTACCTTAGGAATCTCATCTACTGTAAAATTTGATGGGGAACCTTCTGTAGGAACCTCTGGAGATATTGGTTCTATCATCCTATGACAACTGGGAGTTGTTCCAATTTTTGCCGAGGGTGGGTTTGCGATTCTGTGGGAAGGGGTCATAGTTTCTGCATCATCTGTATGACTATCTATGACAATTGCACAAGGTTGTTTACTTTGGACAGGCATACCATTTCCATCAAAGTCTAGGAGTTAAATAATTTAGCTGTGTCAGGAAATATAGTAGGTTTCTTAGAAAATACTGTATATCATATGTTAGTATAATGCCAGAGCTTTCAAAGTAATCCAGCCCCACTGGCAGCGCTAGTGAACAACACCAATTCTTAGCGTACATTGCAATGACAAGTGCATGATGTCACTGCATATGTGGTATTTCGGACCTGAATCGAAGGAGCTATATTTCATCCAGAGTACAGGTTGATGGGTGTCTGGGCAATGGTCACATGATCCATCCGTTCTTGATCATATTTTGCACTTATTTTTTCTTTATCATTTTGTTGCACCCTTTTTTGTAATTATTAATGGTGCAGTCCATCAATAATATCATTTTTTACAAATCTGAATTTGTTTGGAAATCATTTTGAGAGTAATTCAGTAATCGCATCTTGTTTTTTGTTGCCATAGCATGATAGCAACGTCGAGTTTTGTAGCTCAAATTATGAGCTGTTTTACGACAAAAAATATTACTTTTATAATGAATAATATAAAAAATTAATCGAGAAAGTCAATTTAAACTTTTTGATCCTTCGAGAGGCTAATTATTTGGAAAAACAGACAAAAAGAGAGCATTTGTTAACTCAATATAAATATACTGGCAGACCTGGCTTGTTTCTTTTGACCACAAAGTCCGGAATCTCTTTACTTCTTTTATGCCTTTGATCATACGCTCAATCATCCACATCTCCAACTCAAAAAAATCCTTTCCATTTATAGATTCACCTATTTAAATATTTAACAAAGAAAATACAATAAGATTTTGAAAAACAGTCTATTCAAAGCATTTTAAAACTTACCCTCGAAACCTTTTACAACAGTCTCGTCGAAGTTGTTTTTACGTAACCAGTCGATTACTTCATGAGGAAAAGAGTCTTTTGAGAGTTTCTCATTCATTTTGTCAGTAAAAAATGAATAGATAAATATTAAATGAGATTATATTTATTTAAAGAAAAGCGTGACACAAACCCAGCCGCCCAGACAGCTAAACGACGAGAGAAGTCACGTCAGCTGTCAGCACGACCGCGCTCCACATCCGGGAGTCTTGTAAATAGTTCCAAAAAAGGCAATGTTCTCCTTTTATATCTAAATTTAAAATTTATGCCACCCGAATCTTGCGGGTAATTTCACATTTTCCCGCCCAAAACTGTCTAATATTATAATTCCAGATTTCCAGTTTAATATCACTGACTGCAGAGAGCGATGGCTGGACGTAAAATTTAAAAAAGGAAATGTAATTCATAATTGTATTGAAAAATGGCTATGCTCTATAGCTGTGAAATGTGTTCAGGCAATCGCGTGCCATTTGTTGCGCTTAATATGGCATTGATTATTAACCATTATGGGCGGTATCATCGTCACGATCCTGATTTTTTCGTCACATGCAAGGTTGGAGGTTGTACTGCATCATATAAAAAATTTGAAGGCTACAAAATCTGCGCCGTTTTCACAAAGACATCGACCAGATCCCTATTAACAAAGAAGGAGATGTAGATGATGTGGTGAATGGTGAAGAAGACATTCAAGACGATCAATGCCGTATGATGATTCATGATCATGAGGAGACCATTGGCTATCATCATGTCGACTTGAAAAGGCAGAACGCATTGTTTCTACTGAAGACTAAGGAAATGTATCGGTTAACACAAACGGCGACTGATGCACTTGTCTCTTGCACAACGTCCATTGTTAAGAACTCTATTGAACAGTTGAAAAATAGGGTTACAAAATGCTTAGACAACGTTGGAATGCTACTCGGTGACATTCCTGGACTGGAAAATATGTTCAGACAAGATAGTAATGAGAGCAACCCTTTCAATGGCCTTCAAACCAAGACAGAACAGAAGTGTTATTTTCGAGATAATTTTGGGCTTGTGGTAAGTCCATTGATATAAATTTGTAGCTAGCTCTTGTATCACACACTCCTTTTATGAATACCCATTTTTAATGCACCCATCAATGTTAAGCCCGGGGCCGGGGAGATCAGGCGTACATATTTGGGGTATTTGATTTTTTGGGCAAATATTTTATTAATTCCCCTGCTATCGGGCAAAAAATATTGGTCAAATGCCTTGCCAATTTGCAATAAATTTTAATAATAACAGTAATTTGGTTCATGTTGCCCATACTCAGTCCCAAAATGCTAATCAAAATCCCCAGGGCAAGGATGCAATTGATTATCAAATACCCCACATTCCTAGTACATTAAATCATGAAATGCTCAATGATCCTATTTTTAAATTTTTGGAATTCATGCCCCCCCCCCTTCTCCACAGGTGTTTAAACCCTAATCCTAGGCAGAATTCCACTCTTGAATATGGGCAGAGCTGCTCATACTTATATCTGGATATACAGACCCATACACCTAGTTTATATATACAGCTATATTTCTGCCCCAAAAATACCTTAACCCACTAATGCCCATTGCATTCTTCAATATTTTGCTCTCTCTATAATGCCAGGTAACTATATTGTCTCGCATATATGTATGGAGTAAAATTCTCTGGATTTTAAACAGTTAGAGTAGTACAATATTACTGTATGTTACTACTGTACTCTTAGTGTTATTCCAGAGAATTTTACTATATAGATAACATTAAATGCAAGACAATATAGTTTGTGTACCAAGTTTATACAGCTAGCACAATACCATTATATCAGTGTTTTCATATTGAACCTATAGGACCCTGAAAGATATATTCTGGGACATAATCATGTTCAAGTTAGATCTCTGTCCATAGAAAAAGAAGTGCAAAGTTTGATGAAATGGTGATCATTCCTTTGCTAAAAAGCCTTGAGGCAATGCTGAATGACCCTCTATTCTTTATGGGTAAATATTATAGTTTTGGACGGTAATGTCACATAATTGTCACAATTATCCGTAGATCTTTATTATCCATAAACTCTTTTATTTAACATAAACTAGAAATACATACCTGCAGCAACCCCTTGCTTTTTAACCAAGAACGCAACTTCATTTCGGGACATGAAGTATTGGTAGACTGTTGTCATAGCAGCATAGCATTTTTATTCTTTCTGTATCTTTCAAAAAGTGTGAAAATATACTAATGAAAAAATATCAGTTTTAATCACAACATTTGTCATTAATTTGCTTTTAGATAAAGCATTCACATAAAAGCAGACAACCTGGTTCGAATTTGTGACTTCTGCGATGGTGAGTTATTCCAAAGGCATCCACTGTTTTCAAAAGACAAGAGTGCGCTGCAAATCATTCTCTATTATGACGATGGAATGTGTCAACCCTCTGGGAGCAAGACCAAGAAGCACAAATTAGGTATGTACAAAGTACGTACATTGACAATTAAGTAAAATTATCTGGGATGCATTGTGGCTTGATGTGTAAATATTGTTGTGTTCCGGCATTTGTTGAGAGGAACAGTTCAAATATGTGATGCAATTGAGCTATGTTGTCAATGTTGTGCTAGGGTGTTGTCAAGCTGTCGCCAATGCGTTTACAAGCTGCTCTGTGATCATTAATTGTGATTGGCCAATCCAATTTATATTCAAATTGTTGCTTCAATGCGTCACTACTTGACTGCCTTTTGCAGTATACATATATTGCCTTATATGTATGCAATAAACATACGCAAGCATAAGAAATAATTATGAACTACTGTAAGATATGCATGCATGCCGTTTGTCATCAGAAAAATAGGAGTTTCAAAGGCTGCATCATGCTAATATTGTTCCCATTTTCACCATAAAGTATGTGTGACTGATGTTTATATTGGATCAATCACCCATTTGTTTTATAATAAACTTTACTCTTTATTTTCTAGGACTGTTTTACTATACATTGGGTAACATTAGTCCTGTACATCGTTCCCAACTAAAGTCCATTCAGTTGTTAGCTATTGTGAAAAGGCCACTGATAATTAAATATGGTATGAATGCTATTTTGGCACCCATTATGGAGCAGGTCTTGGAGCTCGAGCAAGATGGTGGTTACCAGTTCACTATAAAGGGTGTGAAAGAATCATTTGCTGGGACAATAGCATTTGTCTCTGGTGATAATTTAGGATCACAAGAACTGGGAGGCTTCAAAGTTGGACCTGGCTCCCATCTTAAATGTAGAGACTGTTTAGGTAAAACTGAAGATATTAAAACAAAGGTAGTGTATATATGTATAATTAATTATCTACGTTGTATATAACCTGAATGTCAGGCCTTTATTTTTTCGCCTTAACGCTAAAAGGTGAAAAGCGTTAAGGAGAAAAAAAAAAAGGCCTGACATTCACGTTACATTGTATCCCATATGGTTACTTAAGAGTACTCAACATTGTAGAGATTAGAGCAAAAGACGTTACTGACATATGCTGTAGTTACTGACACTGCATGTACCTCAGATACTCACTTTTTGCACTTTTCTGGTACATTTGTAAATTCATGAATGATATATCCTTTGAAATTCAGAAACGTTGCCCTCACCGTCCTATGTGTGCTTTTCCATTTGGACTATTGCTGGGTATACCAGTGTACTTTACTTTATTCTAAATCTTTACTAACATATGCAATAAATGTCCTTTTTTTCAGTTTCGAGAAGACCAGTTTGTTCTACGTACTGCAGATGAGCATGATGATCAGTGTGACGAGATTGATGAAGATCCTACTTTGGCTTCAACTTATGGCATAAATTTCCGCTCAGCTTTGTGCCAGTCCAGGTACTTCCATGTCATTGGTGGATTACCAGGTGACTCAATGCATGACATATTGGAAGGTTGCCTTCAGTATGAGGCTAAAGAGCTTTTGAAGTACCTAATTCAGGAGCGGAAATATTTCAATCTTCAATACCTGAATTCCAGTCTGGAGAGTTTCGATTTCGGATACCAAAATGAGAAGAATAAACCATCGGTGATTTCAGATGCAACCCTGAATTCAGATAGCAACAATCTTCATCAAAAAGGTATGTACCATAATTAAATTAATAAAGATCACATGCCTGGATTTGAAGATGATATGATTTGATTTTTTATTGATATTTGGTCTCCTTCGTCGAACGCAATAAAGCACATTTGGTACTATGTATGGTTATGTTTCCCTGACACAGCCTGACAACAACCTCAGCTGCATCCCTATATATAGTGATACATCAATCTCAAGAACACCATATGGCGTATTTTCTAGAATATGGCAAATTGTCAGATTCATGTAACTGAAACATACAACATTGATTAGTTTGTTGTGAAATGAACTTTTAATTTGCAAACTATACAGTAGTATTTCATAAGAATAACATATAAAATAACTTTTTTCCTGTAGCATCTCAGATGTGGTGCCTGGGTAGATTTTTACCGATGATTGTTGGAGCTAAAGTTCCAGAGAATGATGAGAAATGGCAGCTATATCTAAAGATGTTGGATATAACTGATATTGTGTTCTCTCCTGTAACAAGTGCAAATCAAGCTGCTTATCTAGCCCAACTAATAGAAGAACACCACAAAGAATTTACAGTGTTGTACCCGAACTGCTCTATCATACCCAAAATGCACTATATTGTCCACTACCCAAGTGCTATGATCAGGTAAAACTAAACTTGTATATATTTGTTGAGTTCCTGGCTGATGTACAGTGTTGTGTTTCATTTAGTGCTAGTGAGTCATTGCGCTTTTTTTTGAATAGAAAAATTATATCACAGCTCCAATAAACCTCATAGAAACAAATAAATAATTGAAGTGAGAATCGGGTTCGTTTTTACTATATACCCAAGTAGTATTAACTGCTGAACACACTGTAGAAGTTGTCACAAGGCTAATTGACAGCTCCGAAAACAACATTGTTCATTTAACAGTAATGTCTGTACTGAGATAGCTCAGCTTCCGCAGTGGGGGCAATGATGTTTCCCACAGATATATTACCTTTCCCCCCCGCACAATATTCACTTACAGATTGAAAACTCTCAAACAAATTGAAAAATATTAAATAATGAAACTCAAAAACGTTGTCGTTGTTCACTGTTTATTATCTCAAATGTTTCTCTCTCAAATTCCCTGAACTAGATGAACAGTAACCTTAGCTATTGTTATGTAAAAATGTCATGTATGGTTTTAAAATTTGCAGTATATATTATATACTTCAACTAATTAATAATTTGTATATATATACTTTAGGTTAGGACCAATGATAACACACTGGTGCATGAGATTTGAGGCCAAGCATCGTTATTTCAAACAACTAGCTACTGCCATTGGTAATTACACCAATCTACCATGGACATTAGCTGAACGACACCAGAGTCAGCAGTGTTATAATCTCTGCGGCATACACAAACCTATTGAGTGTGGAGCAGGTGTGTTAAAATTATATGTTAAAATTGTGTTAAGCATAAGTATGATTTTATTTTAATATATCTAGTCCACTGATTTAATAATACACTGGATAGAGCTTCCATATCCATGAAAAGTGAAGCTGGATGCTATTCGGTTTTAACCCCAAAAGGAGGAAGTAAAACTTCAAAAATGAATATGGTAAACATTTTGGGGGATTTTAAAATAAATAACAGATAAGAAAGATTGTTTACCATATTCGTACTTTCAAAGTTTACTTCCAGCTTTCGGGGACCAAATTGAGTAACATCCAGCTTCACTTTTTATAGACAAAGAAGCTCTAGCCAGTGTTTTATTACATGCATCAGTGATCCAATTACATGTATGACAATATCCTTAAAAACGATGAAAAAAGTTTTATTTTCTACACTTAATTACCCAATTACTTTACACAATATATCCACTATAACTTCAACACTGTAATGGGATTATTAGTTTTGGCAAATTCCAATTTTTTCTTCAACCTGAAAACTCTTTTTCCTATTTTTACTGACTTAATTTCAAAATAGATTTAATTTGAAGAAAAAATACCAAGTTCCTCTTAGATGTAGTGTTTTATCGTGGTTCGGACCATGGTGTCTACTATACTGAAGTGGTATCTACTACTACTATACTGCATAGTATTTCAGTGTGGAAGATGCTTTTGTATTTTGACTGTAGAAAATGGAAAAAACGATTTCACGAAATGAAATTCTTTTCTGACCTGTACTGACCTGCGTTTTTTTAAGCTTGTTACTGGGAACACACTTTTTTGTACTAACTTGGGTTGGAGGAGGTTGAATAGAGGGGGCTGGGTCTTATTGTTTCACTAGTCACTATTGTAATAAAACTAGGTTGGGTTATGTACTAGTAAAGAAAATTTGCAGATTTGTCACATCCCCTATACCAATCAATGCACAGCTCCTCCCTCTCACTCACAAACACAATTTTATCCTCTTGTCCTCCAAAACATAACGACTAGTTCAGATGACTTGAAAACATATTAGATTTAATACGTACGTTACTGTACCTTTACTGCGTATATATATTCATAAAATATCATCCCACAGGTAAACAACATGAAGCAAGCACCAGAAGCTATTTCCAACTACTTCAAGGGAAAGATGTCAACATAAATGCCCACTCACTTGTTAATGAGTAAGTTACTTTCCTTTTGGTCAAAAGCATGCATTAATTTTTATTTTAGAGCAACCTGTTGTACATATTGCTAGTAGTATGTATGACCTAGGTACAATAAAAACAGCCCAATTCTTACTTCAACTATTTATTTATTTCTATGTATAAGTTTTATTTCAGCTAAAGATAACATTTTTAATCAAAATAATGTGTGGTGTTCTACGCATGGTGCAATGTCCAATCACCATTGTCATGTTAGCCCATTAAGCTCCAGTTTAAGTTTGTAAAAAAAGATAAGTAGGGCACATTGCCAGTTAGTGGGTTAACATCAAACAAAGATTTATACTGTATGCCTTATTTTAGGAATGAATATTTTTCAACGAACGAATGAACACTTTGCTATTTTAAGAGTTTTTATCATTTATCATAATGTAATCTTTCACCCACTACTCATGGATTCGCCCTAAAATAATTTATGCATCAATTATTCTTAGAACATTGTGGATTATAATATTGGGAACAAAGTACAAAGTAGGAGCTGTTGTTCAGCATGGATTTCTGCATCTGCTACCAACATTTTCAGTTATAAAGAAAATTGTTGTTGTTGATGGTGAATTAAACAGCTGTTTTTTTATTCTTGAAAGACTACATACTATAGAGTTCAATGAACATTACCATGCATATAAGGTGGAGAAGCCTATTGATATAAGTTTAGGTATTTGCACACAAGAAGAACTTGTATCTTTTATGCCAATGCATTACACAAATCCTGTAAATTCCAATGGATCCTTTGTGAATATTAAATATGACGTTGATTTATATCAGCATGAGTAAGAATTATTAAAATGGATTTATGTACAATATATTTTATGTGTGCATATCCTGTTCCAGCTGACATTTTCAAGAAACATAAAACTTATATACAGTGTAATATATATTTTATATGTAAATATATTTTTTATATGTAAATATTTGTATATGATATTTGTGTCATAAATGAGTATTTTTTAATGTGTTGACTGGTTATTTGCTTCAAATACAAAGGATTTGTAATACATGTAACATGCCTAATGACTTCAATTTAATATATTAAACAAATTATTTGTTTTGTATATAAGTGGCTGTTATAAAAGCCAGAATGACTCTAAGAAAGAGTTCCACCACTCCAACAAAGAGTCATATGGCTCCAAGAACGAGTCACATGACTCCATGTGAACTCTATTTAAGAGTCTATTGACTCTTGCGAGAGTCTTGTGACCCTTCAAAAGAACTAAACGAATCCTCCGAATTGTCATTTTGACCCAATGTCGGAGTTAAAACGACTATTAGAGTCGAAACGACACATTAGAGGAGTAAAAATGACCTTTTGAATAAAGGTGTTGAAATGACTCGCCCTGGGTC